GACGTTGGAATTTGCGAAGTAAGCCGACTGTGTGTGCTAAAAAAAAGCTGGGCCCTTCCCTTCGTCTCATACAAGGCTTGCTTTGTGCGCTCTGTGACGGACAGTAAACAACTGGTCAAAGCCCGAGAGTCCAACATTTGGGAATGGCAACCCATGCAAACAAGGACTATTAGGATAACAACGAACCATGCTCGCCATCACATTCCCCGCTCTTTCCACGGGTAGCTTGCAGCTTAGAAATACCCACTGGGCTGCCCGGTGTAAGTTGGGAGCCAAAAAGGATTTGTCTAAGAGTACGGGAACCCTCAAAAGGGTGCTGTGATTATTGAGACTCGAAAGCAACGGCCATGTCTCGACCGAGCGCCGCGCATCTTCACTCGACTGGATCTTTGCTTCTCGTTCGGATCGACGTGAGGCTTGAGCCAGTGCAGCGGACAAAGCGCCATTCTGCGTGGTGCGTTTAGAGCTAGAGCTGCAACAAACCTCATGTGGTTGAGGGGGTGCCAAACCTCTGTTGGGTAACTAATTGAAAAGGAACACCAAATCTCGAAAACGGTTTGGACTCGTTGCGTGGATTTCACCAATTATTTCCCCTGTTGGTCCTTTCTTCGAAATATCTTAGCAATATGTTAGGAGTCTTTACTATCCTACATGGGTGGATCCACAAAAAACACCACATCCAAACCATTTTCCAGACCAAAGGACACCCATCTTGTAGGCTGCCCTAGGAAATGCCCAAACGATAATACCGAACAACTGAAGGTCAATGTCCGAGGTCTTGCCGGCTGGCGCCCAGTCCTTTGGGAGGACCCCCTGTTGGTTGGGCATTTAAAGGGAAGACAAAGGAAACCACAACCTTACGCAGGGATCCTTACACTTTTTCCTGAACATTGCCTTGTAATTGGTGGTGTCCCTTTATTTTGGTGGAAAAAGCCATGTTTCAAATGGGCAAAATGTATCTTTCAAGGAGCCCTGCTTTAGCAGGAGCCCTACGTCTATTTTGAGAAACACTGGTTTGGCTTCACTGGTCGTTCGACATCTGATCAACAGATCTCCGTCATGGGAGCTATGGACCATCATGGAACAAGACGTCTCCACAACACAAAGGTGCGCCTTGCTTTTTGTGGGACAGGTTAGGCATACCTCCAAGGGGAATTCGTTGCCACATGAAGGGTGTCATGGGTCTACGTGTCCGACAAGGTAGTGTTAAAAGGACAAGCTGTGTTCAAGCGCTTGGCCTCGGGTGTTGTTTCTCGTTGGGCAAGTTAGGTCATCAAGGAAGGATCTTCGAACGTCGGAGCAGAGCCTCTGCAGAGACTTCGGGCAAACTTGTGAAGCATCGCAGTGCGTGTGTATTCACAGCTACAAGTTCAAAGATTCATTTGCAAGTTTGCTGTATCGCTCGGCTTTTTGCTGCCGTGTTGTATACCGGAGGCGATGCTTCGGAATTCAGACTGAGGTTGTTCTAGCGTGTGAAAAAAAATGAGGAGGGCTCCACTTGGCCATCCTTCCCACTAAACTTTCACCAAGGCCAAACTTGCGGTTTCCCTAATTTTCACAGGTTCAGATCCGGAAAGGAGCTCGGCGCAAAGAGCGCCATCCCTTTTTGTAGTGAAGAAAGTAACTGACTGGGTTCCGACTCAAGGAGACCCTCATTCAAATCCAAGTTGAGTCTTAGCCGCCACTGAAAGAAGACAGCAAATGGGTGTGGCTCAAAATTAAACAGCTGATTTTAGTCTTTGTTTCCAGATACCAAGGCCATTTTGGGATATTTTGGGGTTCCAATTTTTGGGCCACAGCCAAATACTGCATGTGCCAGCGTCGCTTTTCAAACTGGTGCTTGATTCTGCGCTAGATTCGGCGCTCGTGAGGCGCCCGAGCAGGGCCCGGAACCGCCCGGCGCTGACTCCCTAGACATGTCCCAGCGAAACCAAGACTTCAAGAGTCCGGAAGCACCCGGAAGCTATGCAGTAAAAATGGCTGAATTTCCACACCTTGCTAATAGAAGTTAACTGCAGATTTGTGTATATGTACATTACGTGTACATATAGCTACATATGTATGTGTGGGGGAGGGTGGTTTATTCTGGACATGAAAATGTATTATGCGCAATGTATAAACACGTGTCAACGGTCAACATGTCGTTGCCGCATTGGACATGGACAAATTGACAACCTCTGTTCTCTTTCAGAAACGTTGGGGAGTCCCGAACTAAGACCCCCAAACTAAGAATCACAAGGCTGCGGCGATTAGGGCGGACAACTCACCAAATCAAATCAAGTTGCCCACGTTGGTTCCGAGAACGTTTCTTTGTGCCCGGTCTTGGGTAAGCCACCGCGGTCCGATTGCGGGAATTGCAAGGCGTCTTGTTTTGAGGCTACCCTTAGGGGGTCCAAATTGAAGAGCCACTTGTTGGGCTGTGAAAAAAAACAATTCAGGAAACAGTTCACAGCGTACTGGAGATGCTGCAAGCCAGGTACCAATCTGACAGGAGTTCAGTGGCCGAGTGCCGGACGAATCAGGTCAAAGCATCCGCTCTTTCGCTTCTAAAGTTGCGCTCGAAAGTAAAGATCCGAGCCGAGTTGGTCAACCGGAACTGGAATCTATTCCCATCATAATGGCTCTCAGCCAGGCCCCAGGGTGTGTGCTCAACGCCTCCGTGCGGCAGGGAAACTGAAAAATTGGCAGCGCGCGTGCGCCACGCATTCGGGAGTCCAGTTTTGCCATGTCCAACATCAAGAGACGACCCATGGCCCGCTAATGTCAACCGCAAAGCCAGTTGACAAGCAGCCCACCCAATCATCAATATACGTAATTATAAAGCTCCCAGTGCAGCACCAGGAAACAACCAACTGTATGTTGTTGATATGTCTGGAAAAACAATTAAAACGCGCGAACTGTCTGGCACCATATGCGTCAAAGATTCAGTTCAGTGTGCATGCCAGTTTATACTGCTTAATTGTCAGGTGGCTTTTCAATATCCTTCGTGCTGAGTTTGGATTTCAAGAAAGCAGGGATGCTAGTGAACAGTGGCACTGAAATCTGTCAAATGAACACTGACTGACTGCTAACACCTTTTATTTGCTCGTTCACTTGTCTTCCCACATGCCCTTCCCACATTGTCACATGCCAATCACTCGTCTTTTTTCAACATGGGCTTGACCCTCCACATCCTGGCTCGCGGAAACCGCCGGTTTTGACGTGACATCAATTTCCCTTTTTTTCCGCGAGAGGAAACCGCCCGGGCCTGGCCTTTCAGCCGGAAGATATCGATTTCAGGCGCAAAGGACCCAGACCCTCCGCATGCCGGCGTGGTTCAGGATCTCGCGGCCGAATCATGCAATCATATGCAATCCCAGGCGTCCTTTGAACAAATTTACGGCTACATGAGTCACCTGCTCCAAACCTGCTAATTACCAACAATGGTGGTAATCCCAGAACCATGCTTCAAGAATTAAGAAGGCGGCTGCAACTATTTCTGGCTGGGCTCGTCCCTTACTAACCTTCATCTACCCGGGTTTTGATTATGGCTCACATGTCGTCAACCGCAGAGAAACAGCGGTCCCCACTAATTTCCATCTGTCTTAGGACACCTGCGAATTCGAGTTCTCGAAACCTGGGCTGGGGCTGCTCAACAGGCTCTCCATCGCCGGACAAGGAACGTGACCCGTGGGTTTTGCCATGGCCATGGCGCCGAGGAAGAGCTTCAAAGGCCCTCCCAGTCGACTCGAGGAAGCTAGCTACAGAATATGTACAAGGAAGCGCTCAAGTGGCACTTGGGTCATGCACTTGCAAACCAAAGAGGGAAAAGCATGAATTCAGCATTTGCCGGCCTCCTTTGCACGTGTCTGTTTTGGGAGCCTAATTTTGGATAAGCTGCAAAGACTTCCAAACAAGAAGCCGATCCTCATGCCAAGGACCCGCCTCGCAAGATGTGAAGAGTAAACATAACACGTCATCATGGATTGCTTTGATTGCTTTCCTGGTTCAAGAAAGCGCATTTTGTCTTGAACATCACGCATTGCATATTTGGCCCTATGAACTGTTTGTCACCTTCTGGCCGCACGGTGCCGACATGGCCGTTTTGCCTCATGTCGCCTCGTCTTTGCCTCGTCTTTTCGATTTCGCTCTGCGTCCTTGCTTCAACTTTCGGATCAAAATCAGATCTTTGATTCTTGCCCAGAAAAGTTGGAATCGTTTTCCGTGATTGGGAACCCTTTTTAGTGAACCTTAAGAATTTGGGAACCTTTTACAGTGAACCTCCAAATTGGGAAATCTGTTTTCTTTACATTCAGCGAACATACGGTGAGATCCCCGACTTAGGAGGCCAGCTGCTCGAAAGAGGTCGGGAAGGGCGCGGCCCGATGGCAGCGCCCTGCCCCCGGGGTGCGAAGAGACAAGCTTGCCCAAGGCTCGCGCTGCTTTGTGTATATCGTGAGACACGCGCAAAGCATGGAACCACACATATATATATATATATGTGTAGTATCAATGCTCAAATTTATAAAGATGCGCAACAGTACTTGCATTGGCTTTTGCTTAATCAATGATAATGCATTTGAGATGCTGTCTCATCCCGTGATTGCAATATATCACAGTGACTCGAACCCTTACGGCAAGCAGACAGCATAATCCTCATGACTTACACTCGGTCGGTACCCTAAACTTAGTTCTACCATCATCAGTTGAGCAAAGGGTAAATGGGAATGCTTACTGAGTAGAATGGGTCAACGCCGTTTACCGAAGATTGCACACGATTGCGACTCGGCCCCAAAAGACATCCAATTGGCTCTCGCGCATCATTACTCAATGTTTCCTACATGATTAGCAGTCAAAGGCTTGAGACTGAAACCGCAAATGTCAGCAGTTTCCACCGCCACATGGAAGTGTCCAAAACATAGGCGGGCGAGTGCCGATGAGACCATTTAGTATCTATAGGGAGTAGTTTCACAAGGAATTGAATTGCTGAGCATTGGACAGGCGCTTGCGAAGCAGACGCATCAGATTTGCAGCTGACGAATGCGCTCGGACTCCTGGCGAGGACGAAGCGCTGCTGCCAGCCCTCTCTGCGCTCGGCAGATTGAGGGTTTCTTGTTGCCCTTCAAACATCACCCCACTAAACGACAACTGGCAGAAAAAACAACTGCCTTTTCAAAAAGCTGCCAAGATTGGTTTGCGCTAGCGCCTCTTTCTGGACACTTTGCACCCAACAACACAACCTCCCAAAACCCATCCAAACGCTCCCCGAAAGCCTGAAAGCCAACACCTCCCTTCCAAAGTCCATCTCCCTCCCAAGCATCCCCCATCAGCGAAGCAAGCCCCCCCCCCCCGCATAAGGACCAAACACACACACACACACACACACAACCGTCCCCCCGAACCCCAACCCCCCCCCCCCCCATAAGCCACAACACCCAGCAAAGACCTCTCCCCCAAAAGACAACATCATCACAACGCCCCCTTAAGAAACACGTTGTACCCCAAACAACGGTCTGCTCCAACAAGCAAATCGAAGATTCACTTCACCCCCCTTGATTCTTGATGGCCAAAAAACACCCTGCCCAAAACGCTGACAACTTGCACCTTCATTGGGACATCACAGATTTATCCCATCCAAAAGTTCGAGGTTGAAGATCCCTCTGCATCCTCATGCCCATTACCTGATGGGAAAATCACATTCTTCGTTCCCCCCCCTGAAGTCCTCAAGTTCCTTCTAGCCAATCAACAGTTCTTCATGTGGACGATCCAAGCCAACCCCCCGCCCCCTGCCCAAAGTTCTTCAGGAAGGAAGATCCATGGCCACACGCCACATGTCCTGCGTCAGGGACTCCATGCTGAGGCCCTTCTCCTCCGCATACTCCGGGCGGTGCAGCTCCACCCTACGCGCCGAAGCCCCGTGGGTTTTTTCTCACGAGCGCCCAAGGCGCGCACTGGGACCCAGCATGGCTGGAGAATTCCGAACACCCAAACCGCGTTGGTGCACAATTCACGATTTGGACGTGGCTCAAAATTAAACAGCCAGGGTTACGCAGGTGTTGGTCCATGTTTCCACTTACCAGGGCTCCATTTTGGTACCGGTTTTTTGAGCCACAGCCATTTGTCACAACTCCCAAGTTTTAAGCTTTGCTAAAGAGACCCCAGCCAGAAATATTTTGCTCCCACCGACTAACATGGCACCTGACAGGGACCCGGTCCCTTGAAAAGGAAGATGGTCTTCCACGCCATGTAAGGCTCCATGTGCAAAAGGGGGCGAGGCTGTCAATGACTCTAGGGGTTGATTCCAATTCCATTCGTTTCAAAAACCAGCTGTTTCCCCAGGGTTTGGGGTGGTTTTTTAGAAAAAAGGATGCCGAAAGAATTGGGAAGGTACCCCTAGATTAAAGGGTCCCCCATCACCAATCACATCAGATTTGGGCGAGTACTGCAATTCTCCTCCCACCGATTTTTCACATACCTGACGTTCGGGACCCTTTGGTGAATGAGGAATGCCCTCCCACCGATTTTTTACCACATGCCGTTCGAGCTTCGGGACCCGGTGCCAGGAAAATGGAGTCTTCCAGGATGGATTCCCCGAAGGTCAAGTTACATAAATGGACAGGGTTGTGAGCCAACGCCTAAAAAGAAAGCTTGAGTCCAAGACCGAAAGAAGTGGAGTCAACATTCCCCATCTTGTTGAGTCTTTCCCAGTAAACATCAAAATAAAACACCCCGCAAGTGGAGTCCATCTTGCTGAGTCTCTCCCAGAGAAAAAAACAAAAAAACTAATAATAATAATAATAATAATAAGAACGATAATAATAATGATAACAATAACACGATCATGATAATAATAATAATGAAGAACTCTAATAACAATGATAATAATAATAATAATAATAATAATAATAATAATAATAATAATAATAATAATAATAATAATAATAATAATAATAATAATAATAATAATAACACAAAACAACAACATTTCCCCGGCCTGGTGCCCAGGTACTCGGCAGCACTCACCGGTGCCAGGTGGTCCGCCAGGCCTGTGAAGCCCCGGAAGGCGGGGCCATCCACCTGCCGATCAATTTCTTGCGAAGTTCTCCCCGGGTTTTTTTGAGGCTGGCGCCTTCAGAATGCTTTGCGCATTTCGAGGTCGTTGTTTCTTTTGCTTTTGAGGGCGACCCAGAATTCTGTTGGGAAAGGCTGGCGAGAGTTTGATTCATGTATGGAGTTTTTCACCAGGTTGTTGGGGTGAGCCAGGGATTTGGGCAATTTTCTATTGTTTGATGCATCTACCCATGGACAACTTGCTGGTGCGAGAGATGCAGGGAATGAGAAATGGAATAATCCCTATAAACCTTCCGGTGTGGATTCCTTTAAGTGTTCATGTTCGTCTTCCCTACCTATCGCACCAGCAAGTTGTTGACGCGTCCCCGTTTTAAGTTGGCTTTCAAGGTGAAGCACAAGAAAAAACTGCCAGGCAATGACCCCCTGCTAAAAGCTGCTCCGAACCACCCAGACCCCTTACCTTTTGAAACTTTCAGCCGGGGAAAACACACACACACAATCTTGGGGTCCCATTTTGAGACACACCCATGTCCCTAGTTGAAGCCGGGAAACCCCATCTCACAGCGTTTTGTGTGACTCCAAAAGCCCGTCTTGAGCTCCACCCAAAAATCGACGTGTTTCGAGCAGCTCAAGCCCTGTCAGAAACAACGGGTGCCTAAAAATCCCTCTTGAAACATCATCCCTCCTGGAAACTCAGCTCTAGGCCAATGTGTTTAAAATCACGCGGGAGCCTACCTTGGGGGGCTTTTCAGGAGTTTGGACGGACCTGACGGCCATTTTGGGGGATCCACGATCCATGGGATTACTCCAAAGTAGGGCCTAGACCAACAGACCAACTCTGAGAAGTCGCAGTACATCAGCTCATGGTTTGCTTCCCTTGGAGATTCTTATGTACTCCAGGCCCCGTATCCGACACAAAGACACCAACAAGATCAGGGGCCAACAGTCATGAACATTCCACACATCAACTAGGTCCGCCAGTAGAGAGGTTAGAATAAGTTGGTACCAACTTTTGTCTGTAGTCCACTTTAGTAGGGGAACCCTCCCAACCAAAAAAGCAAGGGTAGAGAAGGGCACCTAGCTGGGGGACCTAGTGTCAACCCCCCAAATGGAAAAACATGGGCCTAGCAGTCACGAACGTAAGCACATCAAGGCGGGGCGACCCGAGGAAAAGGGGGGCGACTAGCGACCCCCCCGCGCGCCTTGGGGGAAAGTGCCCCGGTGATGATGGACAGGCGATCCTTCTTGGCTTGGCCCGCCACCACTCCTCGGGGGCGGGGAATCGGTGGCTCGCTCTCTTTGGACGACTTGAGCCAACTCGCATCCAGTCATGGAATCTTCGGGGAGCTGTGGGGGGCTATCCCTGGATAAGCCCCAGGATAACCCAAGGAGAAGCCCTTAAGGCCTTATTAAGGGCTCAACAAGGGACAGCCCCCCTCCCCACAGCCTTCCTAGAGGGTCCATGAAGAAGAGCCTTTGGGTTCCCTGGCACGCTTTTTGGTCAGACACTTGCCATCTGCAGCAGGCAACCACTGACATCCACAAGGCGGTTGAGTCTTGAGAGAGTTTCGCCGTTCTCAATACACCTTTACCAGGTGGGGGGCTCTCCACGCAAGACATTGATATCTGCAAAAGGGTAACCAAAGGAATGCAACACAACTGTCTGCCGCTTGGTCGACTTCCGGCGACTTGGAGCAATCCTGATCAAGAAACCATGAAACCAACGTTAAACCAAGCATTTGAAGAATCAAATCAACACATCCTCATAACCGCCCACATTTCACGAGCAAACAAGCCCGAAGCAAAACATAGCCCGGAACAGCATGCTGGTCCAATGTCTGCCACTGACATATACGCCGTATCCATACATTGGCATGTCAGTATGCGCGCCCAGCTCAGATGCATTTAGTAAAATGTCAAGGTTTACGACTTCAATGCAAGATTGGCCCTAAGGGCACATTTGTCATAAAGCAGGTTGTGGTTTCATCGGGTTGTCTTTATTCATGTAGTAAAACAGTAGAATCATGTTGAACGACTTCATTAAAGCAAACAACTCCCATGGATGCCCCAGGCCGTGTCCTTCAAACCGAAACAAGTCACGCATTGGCCCGTCCATGTTTGGGTTTGTCTCCAAATGGGCAACCCCGAAACGGAGTCCTGGTTCCCTTTCGCTTCCATTTTAAGCTATCAAAATGGGTTCCCCTCCTCAAAGACAAGTGGTTTCCCTTCGCCATTGAAAAAACTTGAGCCTTTCCTGGTGAGTTCCCTTTAGGTTCCCGTCAAACAGAAAGCGCATGTCCCCAGAAAGCAACCCCCAAAAGGGGCCTCCCCGCGAAAAAGCAAGCTTGGCTTCCTCTAGAGTTTGGGCTTCTCTTTGAAACAACCCCAGAGATCTTCGGCGCTCCCCTCAGAAACCTGCCTAAAACGAGTGGCTCAAACATGAGCCAACCGGACCCAACAAGACAGGGTTGGCGTCTCAAACGCGGCTTGTCTCACCTCCCTGGGGTCACAACTCCCCAGCCCCTCGGAACCCGAGGCGCGGTGCACGGAAGCCTTCCACTTGCCCCCGGTCCAGCGGGACAGCAGCGCCCCGACGTTCAGCACCAAGGAGTCCCGCACGAAGGGCACGTCCACCCAGTGCCGGTCCTCGCGTTGCGAGGAAAAAAGTCGTTGCGATAGGGCATGACCGGAAAGTGTGCAGGGAATGAACCGGTTCTGGGGATTCCCTGCCTATCGAACCAGCAAGAAAAGACCGCCCGGTCTGTGAGCCAGCCTCAGGACCAATGACTTTCATTTAAAGGGGTGTCCCATGGGATTGTACGGGCTGGGTTGTCCGAGAAGGTCTACAGCAGCTTTCGTACATCTAGAGATGCCATGTTTGGAGCTTGGTCCACATTTGCACATTTGGCGAATCATAAACGACATGTTGAAAAATGCGGAATGACATCCAACATGGTCCCGGGGTCGAAGAATTGTTGGATGGTTTGGCATGGCTCCCGGGCTGCGCTCTGGGTCCACTCCAACGCGTCCCAGGGTCACGGAAGGTTCCGACAACTTCCAGACTTGGCGGCCAGTGCCCGTGCAAAAAGGTTCAACTATGTTCAACCTCCTGCGGGTTTGTCGGGAAATACTCATTTTTCCCAAACAAGCTTGAAACCAAGAGGCTTAAATGACGGGGTGTCAATGACCATAGTGTAGTGACAAACATGCTTGGGCCCTGGCACATGCGCTGCTTTGCGCGATGGCTTGCTTGTTTTCATGTTTCCGAATATGCACAATGCTGGGGGCATTCATGCTTAGGTAGAAAATCGAGCAACATATAGGGAGTCCTGAAATCGGGGAGCCCGTTTTGAAGTGAGAAAGTAAACAACCAAAAGAAACAAGCAACCATCAAGTGCTGCTCACAGTGCACCAGAGGTTAATCGCAGCTGGACACTTGAAGCATCACTCACCCACTGCACAAGCAGCCAACAGCATGCACCCAACACGTCATCAATGCCCCATGCCATCAACCCACCATCAACCACACAAACAAAAGGCTAATCCGAATACAGTAAACGTGCCCTCCACCAGCCTCTCCAAATTGAAATCCTTCCAGTTATAGCTCGGAGTCAACCTTGCGGACAACCCTTTCTCTCCCCCCGAGACCCCCACAAGGGAAAAAAAAAACACATATAGCCATCAAAACGTGGGTATTTCAATGGTCTACCCAGAGCCATGTAACGAATTACAAAGGTGGCGAAGGCAGCAAGTCATGAGGACCATCCCTAAGCTTCATCTACCCCCGGGTTTTCAGCACGTGGCTATGACCCCCCCGACCTTCCCCTGGTACCAACCCGACACCGTCCTCCTCTTCCCCGGTGGTGCCAATGCCGCTGATGTCCACCTGGAGGCCGCCGGTGTTGCTGGGGTCCAAGCTGACCACCGTGATCTCAGCGAGTCGGCGAGAAGCGACGCGAAGCGATTCTGGCGATTTAAAACAAAGCGGCGCGGCGCCGGGTTTGGGGGCAGACCGGCTTGGCCCGCCATTTTGAGTGGCTCATCTTCCAAAAAATATTCTCTATGCTCAAAATTCCTTGTGTGGGCCACCGTCTACGCTCAAAGCTCCTTCTGGGCCACCATAAACCCTCAGAATAATTCTCTCCTATGCTCAAAGCTCCTTCTGTGGTCCACTAACCCTCTAACTTAAACTCCCTCCATGACCATCCCTCCATGACCATCCCCCTTGGCTCCATCGCCCCAAAAGAAGGTGGCAACCGAAAAGCAAGCCGTAAATAGCCATACAACATTCGCGCTAAACACGCCCACACAAAATAATTGTAATTGGTGGCCACCCTTTCGCTTCACCCTGATGTCACACAAAAGATGATCAAGGGGAACAACGTGCCCCTCGGGAACGCGCAAGTGTATACTGTATACCCCTCATATACTCCACATATACCAAATGATCATGTCCACTTCCACAGCCCTTACACCAGAAACAAATACATGCAGATGATCCCCAAAGGAAAAAAACAAAAAAACACCCCTTGCACGAACACCGCAGGGTGCGGCGCGGTTGGATCCGGCGCCGCGCCGAACTCGGTTCCGCTTCGCTTCAGCAAAGGCGCGCCGCCGGAGTCGATGTGTGCGCCGTAGCCCATCTGGCCCTCGCTCGGCTCCTCCCGGATCCACCCGCCCCCGGCACCACTGGCCAGTCCAAGAGAACTGGACACAAACTGGGTCCATGGGTGGAGGTAAAGGGTGAACAAGATTTTTTCCAGCTGCCATGGTCCTAAATTCCAGCGAAACCCAATGCAAATAAATTCAACACTAGTCTGCATACGCTTTCGCACAGCCAAGCTTGGGATCCCTATGAAAAGCATCTGCATACCTCGAGATTGTTGAACCAAACCTGGTCAACGAGGTCACATCTTTGCAAATCACCCAAGGGCTGCGCCCTACCCAACCTGAGGCAGAGAGATGGAAGATGCTCCTGGAAGATCTGTCTGATGGACTCGTAACTCGAGAGGAACATTTGGATTGCGATGCCCCCCGGCCTTCTCCACGGCAATGAAAGAAGAGAATAACATCATGGCCCCTATTCCGGCCTCCTTGAGGCACACCTACTGCGGCTACTCAAAAATCAGCATGGGAAGTACAGCAAACCGTTTATCCGTTTCCATTTGCTCAAGCCTCGGGGAAAGCATGACACATATTTCCAGTATATAGATTCCCTTTAAAACCAACAGGGGGAAGTTCCTTTTGCTGAAACCTTCCACTTCAGCAAATGGAAGTCCGTGAAATTGGGCTTCAGCCAACAGAAGGTCCTAGGAGCCGTCACATGGCACCCGGGCAAGAGTTGCAGACCTCTCCTCACCGCCAAAGGGATAGAAGGCGAGGCGTAGGCCTCCGCCCATGGGGTCGATGACCAGATCCAGCTCCTGCGAATCTGGGATGATTCTTTCGCTCCTCCAGTAGAGAGGTTAGAATAAGGGTACCCGGTTTTTGTTTTCTTTTTGGAGTCTATTTTAGTAGGGGAACCCTCCCCCAAAAAAGAAACGGTACAAGGGCACCTAGCTGGGGGCACTACTGAGTCTTTCTTTCTAGAGGTCTATCCGCGCCTGACATGCTGAAACCAATTCAAGAGGCGGAGAAAAGCCGGATCTAGCCAAAAAGAAAAGCGCTCAGAATTACATGGTTTTGATCAAAAGGTCCCATGAACATGGGACGATCGTTGTATATGATTTACTTCAACCACATGGGAAAAGTTACCCATGGTCAAAACTGGGGGCCGAATACTGATCAACCGCCACACGCACGTGGCATGTGGGTGGAAAATTACAGTTGCCGTTTCGAACATCTTAAGTTGTAAAGCTACCAAAAGTCAGAACCGGCGACTGCCCCCAAACCTCCCAACGCCAAAAAAAGAAGGACGGGCGCAGGTGGCCCCGTGGCCACTGTGACGCACAGATTTTGGCGATCCCGCTCTTCTCGCGGAATGAAGGAAATTGAGTCAAACCACTTGAGCTTCACTGCGGTGCAACACCTTGCGTTAAACTCCTGGGAACCAAACCACCTGATGAGCAGACAAAGTAAGGGAGCAACAACCGGAAATTGCCACGTCGACCAAGATGCAGCTACTTGCCGCCATGGATGAAACTGTCCCAAGCTGCTGAAGCCATATTTTTCCAAATCTAGAACCGAAAGGCTATCTTCATCTAGAAAATCGGCAAACACAGCTGGCCGCGTGCTTCCGAACCAAATGATTTGTGGGTGTTCTATGTCTACACTCCAAGAACTCAGGTTCAGCGAGTCACAGAAATTTCGCTCAACCCCAAGCAGCGCTCGAGCCGCTCGCGAGACGCTCCGCGCCTCGTCCTGGACGCCCTGCGACAGCTGCAGCGCCCGCCCTGCAAGGTGCGCCAAATGCTCCGCGCTGTGGAGGAAGGCTGCGGCGGGCCTCCCGTGGGGCGTTGGGGGGGGGGGGGGGCACGTTTCGGCCTGGCACGCAAATTGTTTGGGGCCCAGTTTGAGGGTTTGGGTTTAGGAGTCAGCTTGATTTTGGGGGGGTCCCCATCAATTTCTAGTCCCCACCTGAGACTTAGGTTGTGGCATCCTTCAAGCAAAATGATACCTTTCGCCAGTTCAGAGGGCTTCACCACCTTTCGGGGGTGCAATCTCCAAGAGGGGCCGCGTAAGACGATCGGTGCGAGCGAAAGGCCCGCCTTTAGCAAGTTGTCAAGAGCTTTGGTCTGCGGGTGCTTCGCTAATGGCTCCAAATTAAGAACAACATCAGATATGGGTGTTTGTGAAAACTCGACACACCCGCAGATGCAAACATGAACGCCATCTGCACAGAGTACACCAGTCGAGTGGTGCTTCGTTTGGGCTCTCTGATGTAACACTGCGCAAGCGTTCCACCCAAGAACAAGCAAAGGGTCTTGTGCGTCGCACAGCTGGTCTTTGGTGCGCGAAACGCAAAACACTTTTGGCCAGAGGGGAATTCGGCATTTTCCAGGTCAGAGGTGGACAGGGTAATCCTGACGCGCCGGAAAGCTCCTAGACATCGTTCTGCTCCACATGGCTTCCCAAGCGCAGACCAGGACTTGGTGCCACCAAGTCCCAAGGACCAAGAGGTAGCGCCTTTTGATCAGCCAGTGTGTCAGAATGGCAACCTCCCCCCCCAACAAAAACGTTAGCTTTCCCTTTGAAGCAAGCCCTTTCAATAGATACGAGCCTCAACAATTCAGCACGCGTTCAAGCCACACGCCCTCTCGATGTGCCTGGAGATTACCTCGGGTGTGCTTTCCTCCATCTCGCAGCCGCTCACGTCCTGGCGACGCGACGTGAACCGCCGGGTGCCGGCTTGGTCGGCGGAAACCAGCCGGAAAAAAAAAAAAAAAAAAAAAAAAAAAACGGTGAAAGAGGCCGCGCGCGTTGTTTTCCGGGCAAAGTCAACGGTATGAACGGAGCAATGGTCCCTTGTCCAACCCTTTGCCTATTGATCCGTTTGGCGCCCCGAATGCGGGTGCCCAGAAAATTCCGAGTCACAGGGACCTCTGGTCACGTGCACACGTAAACAAAACCGAAGAAAGGCGACTGGCCAATGTATAGCACCTTGCCCTAGAGCAATGGGCAGACAGGAAACTCCAGGAAACCCCCCTGAGAATGGCCACATCCCAGAAATAGAAGTTCGACGTGTTCTGAAAGGCTGTAGTTTAGTACTTCCCAAAGCTGAAAGGCTGGTTTGCTGGATCTCCTGAAACACTCCCCCAAAAGGAAACTCACCTTCGTGGTGTTGGGCCGGCAAGCAAACCCAGCGCTTGTCCTCTTTCTCCTTCTTTCACAAGCCCAACATGTTTGAGGCTTACTGAAAACCCCTGTTTGGGATTTTTATGTCTCGACCCGATGACCCCAAATGGAACCTGGTATATGGAGGAAAAGAACCTGAATCCTGCGGTCTGGTGCTATCTTGGGTGGGTGTCAACCCCGACCCAAAACTAGGTCAGTAGAGAGGTTAGAATCTAAGGGTACCCTTTTTTCTGTAGTCTATTTTGGTTGGGGGAACTGAACCCTCGCAAAAAAAAACCAAAAAAAAACAAAAACGGTAAAAGCGCACCTAGCTGGGGGACCTAGTACCAGCTACCTCTGAAGCCGCCCTCAAAACAAAAACAATTCCAAGCGTTTTCGAAGCAGGTCTCGAGTATAGGTTTTGTCTGAACCCCCATTTGGTGTCCTGGGACACTACCGGGGGACCTAGAAAAACCCGTCGCCGCACCCCGCTCGCTCGCTTCGTCTGGCTCGATCCTTGGCGTTGCAGCGCCCGTGGGCGTCAGCCGCGTCGGCAGCGCCTTTGGCCAGCTGCACCGCCTCCACGCCGCTGCGGAGGTTGGCTAGGCCCGCGTGCAAGGACTCCACCAGGTCGTTGGGCCTAAACCCGTCCCTTCCACGCGCGGAAAGCCCTGTGGTTGGGTGTTTGGTTGGTTGGGGGGGGGACTGGGCTTGTGGCATTGGTGGATGTTTAGCGGGATTTTAAGGGCAACTTGTTCTGTTTTGCTCCCTAAACATCGACCAGGAAGCCAAACAAGCAGTCCCAAGACGGAGATTCCTGTATGAACTCTATATTCGACTGCAGGAGAGCAGTTGTAATCTTGCTGGGCCTGGTGGCAACATATGGCAACCCAAACAGGGCCTGGATGCGGCCCAGAAGGACGAGGGAACGCCTAAGCAACCCCCGCCGCGGTCACCATGCCACCCCCAAACCAAACCAGCGAACCGGGTGTGGTTTCTTCAATGGCGGTGGTTCACAAGGCGCCCGTTTCGGTGGCACCCACGCCCCGCCTGGAGAAGTCGCCCAGCAGCTGCGCCCCGTTCTCCCGGCGGTTGTTGTAGCCCCCAAAGCCATAGCCTCAGCCAAGACCGCCGTGGGCCTCACACCACCATGAGTTTCTATGTGTTTTGAGGGGATAGATTTAAACGGAAGCCTTTCAAGGAAAACCAACCTGCCAGGGGTCTCCAATTCTTTTTCACACAATGGAAATGCCTCAGCTCGCGCTTGAGGCCAAAGCCTGGGGTGCTGTGGAATGGAAACCACCCATTTGTGCAAGACGCTCAGCTGCCAAGTTTGGGACAAGCCACAATTAGAAATCCAACCTGGTATGTGCGGGTCCAACCGGTTGCAGGAAAGAACAGTGATTGACCCGAAAATGGCTGGGATCGTACAAGTCTCTCTACTGTCAGGTCTTTAAAACACGTGAAGACTCGTGTTGAGTTCAAACACCCTCCTAACCTCACCAGAGCTGCGATCAAATACCGTGTGAAGCAACTTCGTCCCAGGTGCCAAAGTGTGGCCCCGCGAAAGGATGGCTCAGGGTGCGGAAGCTCACGGAAGCTTCCGCGGAGCGTGTTGCAGAGCTTGTTGCGGAAGCTTTGATTTGTTCCGCATGAACGCTGCAAATGACATGCTGTCTTGAACAAGCATCGATGAGGGATCAGCTGCAACTTGTCTTGTGCGAGCTTGCACAGTGACATTGGCGCATTAAAATTAGTATTATATGCCTTAGCTCCGACAAGCCAAACAACAAACCCCACACCTGGCATGTGCAAACGCCTTGGAAGCAAACCAAGCGCGCGAAGGCCTTCAAAGGCGGTCGCGGAAGCCTGCGGAAGCCTGCGGAAGCCGCGAGCCCCATGACATTTTGTCCTTGGCATGGTCACCATTGTTTTTTCAGACCTTGAGACATGCACGACGCTAACCAGAACCCTATGTTGTCACAAGACTTTCCGAGCGGTTCCATGTTACCAGCCGCTCGTGTTCTGGGCAGCGGGGGGTCGGCTTGCCTCCGTTGGAGTCATGGCACCTGATTGGAGCTGCCTATGGTCGCTGAGGGAAAGCTTGTATATCGCTGTTGTCCTCAGTGGAGGTACTCTATAGTGTAACAGATGGGGGGGGAAGGTAGCAAAAAATCAGGAAATTGGGGGGGCCTGCGTGCCGCTACCACCAGCATGGAAAAGGAGGAGAACAACGAAACCCAATTGGAAAAACCAACTACAATCACTGCTGCTTCTACCGCGACGACTCTATATCACTGATCGGGCAGAGACAGGAAGCAGCAGCCAAAAGCAGCAGCAAGAACAGAACGCTGACGACGAGATCCTCCTCCTCCTCCTCATCATCGTCATCGTCGTCATCACCATCATCACCACCACCACCATCAGCATCATCACCAACACAAGCACAAACACAGAAGCGCAATTCCACCTCAATTTCCGCAAACAGCAACGACAACAGCACGACCAAGAGCAAAAGCAGCTGCAGAAAGCAATGACCACACTAACAAGCACACGCTGACAACCAATACAAACAAGACCTCATGGTAGACAAGAAACAGCAAATAATGCAACGAATCAAACCTGCCACCTCTTGACCATGATCCTCACGATAATCCGTTCGAGTGCCCTGCAGGGCACCCTGTGCGATCACTGCGTCAAGCAGCCTTTGCCCTTGTCGTACTTCTTCTTCTCTTCCATTGGGGAGCGGAAGAAGTCGTACCTGAGGGAATCCAGTGATACACGCATGTTGGCTCGTTAAATGTGGCAAAGGTCGAAGGCGGTCGTACGGCTGAAGCAACCAGCAACTTGCGACGGGAACGCTGGTTCGCTCGCAATGTTTCAAGTGTCCACCAGAGCACATGTGAGAAGACGGTTCAATGACAATACTGTGGAGAAGACTGACGCATGGGTCCACTTGTTCTCATGGTAAACCAGGATGCCAAGCAAAGTTACTGACCCGAACATTGTCTACGAACGACAAATACTCACCTTCGAATTCTGCGTGGTACGAAGGGCCCCTCACTGAATCAAGTCAACTATGGGCGCTTCCTAAACCGAGTGATCGAAGCAAAATGCGGCCTTCAAGACACACACGCACACACAAACACACTCATCGCATGACGAACATGGAAAAAGAAGCTTGCTTGAGCACATAGTGATGCCTGTGCAAGGCAATGACAGTGATAGTCTAAGAGGATAGCAAGAACCATCTAGTACATATGGTCAGTGCATCAGAAGGCCGGGTTAACATCAGGTGTGGTTCTGGTGAAACATGCAAACAAATTATACAAACCAGCTTTTACCAATTCGCTGGCCGGTTGCCCAGCCAGAACGACAAGTATCTAACGCGTGCAATACTTGGCACCTGGCCAGGCACCGGTTCCCCGAAGTGCATCCTGGATATGTGGCACTCCCAACCACGCAAAGAACACACACACACACTCCCAAAAAGAACAAGAAACATGACTCACCCAAAAAAACATAAGACAACACGTGTGGGAGTGCCCTGTGTTTTGTGTGTTCAATGTGGCCTCCGATAGCTTGCCGTTCCTCCAGTCAAACTCTCACAAAATCAACTCATCCAGCCCGGCAAAAAGCCAGAAAACAATGCTAGCACCTCAAAACACAACCGCAAATCACAATAAGCAACACACAGCCAAAGAAAAACACCGCGGAAAAAAAGGAGAAAACAAGATACAACACAAAACGGGGAAAAAACAGCTGGTTCGATAGGCAGCAAGTCAGGGAATGCCCCCTACAAATCGCTCCTGGTGGTGGTGTCAGTTTTTTTCCCGTTGGAGGATCCTAAACGAACCGCGATTCCCTGAGAGCCAGCAAAAAACAATGCCATTGCCACCAGCCGTTGCCCAAACGACCTTGACAGTTGGTACCGCTCCAAGATGGCAAAAATCTAAAGCTTTTTTCACCCCACAAAAACAGGTCGCACCATTCTCCGCTTCCTGCTTTCTTGCTTTCCTTTTTTTGGTCGACTCCCAGTAGAATCCCGGGTTTGGGGCCTCCACGCGATCCTCCAGTATGGAGAGGATAGCTAGCATAAGTTGGCACCAACTTCTTTCTATCTTAGGGTTGAACCCTCCCCCCAAAAAGGAAGCGCTGAGAAGGGCACCGGGCGCTGGAAGTCCCAGCTCCCCGTCCGATTTTTCCGATTTGTCCGCTCCGCCCCGCCGATTTTCGCTCGCCCCGAGGCCCGCGCGCGGCGCTCCGCAGGGACTCCACGTGCTGCGGGGGGATGCCGTGGCCCGTGACCACCGCGAAACCCGAGCGCTCGAAGGAGCGGGACAGCCTCTGATTTCTGGAGAGGCGGAAGAAAGGAAGGTGTTTCTTGGAGGTGAAACCGTGTTGGGAGTCCCGAAGGAACAAAAATCACCAGTTGGCTGGGTGCTTTTTTTCCTATAAACAAACAAAACACAGTTGGCTGCTTTTTTCCTTATAAGGAACAAACAAAAACCAGTCGGATGGTTTGTTCTTGGGTCAAACTCCATTTCGCATTCCCTACCAGTCGCACCAGCAAGAGAATGGGATGGGCTTGGCTGGGCGGTCCGTTCTCTGATCCGCCAAAAGCTTCTAAATTTTAGTGGGTTAAATACGGAAACCCAACCAAGCACAACTAAAAGCCGAAGGGGTTGACTGGGAAGCACTAAGTTGAGGATGAAACTTGGAAGTGATATGACTTGCCCAAAGGCTTGAGAATGCGGTTGCATCCAAATTTGCACGTGCTACGGCACCTGCAGAATGGTTAAAGTCTCCTATGGAACCCGAGTTTGGATGAGCTTATCTCCACCAAATAGGTGGGACCTCCAAGCCGTCCGGTTTCCCGACGGCTGTTTTGATCAGGACAGGAAAAATGCATGGGGTTGAGTATGAAGTCAATGGGAGATCATATGGCTGTGGCTCAAAAAACCGGTACCGAAATGGAACCCTGGTAAGTGGGAACATAGACCAAAACCCGCGTAACCCCTCCTGTTTAATTGTGAGCCACACCCATATCAATTTAGGCTTCGAAAGCAACCAATGAACTGGGTCTGAACTGAATCCCACCAAAAGTCAATACGGGTAGATCATGCCAACCTAAGCATAAAAAAGTTAGCCGTATGTTTTGGTCAGAGCGTGACTCACCTGCTCAAACCGTGGAAGCGATGAACATGCGGAGAAAGCCCGGCATGCACTTTCCTGAAATATTTACTTGAGAACAAGGTTTGCAGGCTGCAGAAGCTGAAAAACATGGGCTGTGGCTTTTAAACAAGTAGCACACACCTTGGTTTGAGAATGCTGGGTACTGGAAAGCAGTGTGAGCTTACGAGGCCAACATAGATTTCGAACAGCAATTGGGCAAACCTTTCATGCGTTCGCACAGGCTGCAGCTAGCCGGACTCCTAGCACCTTAATACTGGCATTGCTGTGAGTTCCAGGAATTGCTGAAGCACATGGCTGAGATGAGCCTTGTCTGACCAAATATTTGAGGCAGGCATGTTGACAATGGTGGTGCAATGGTGATGCAATGGTGGTGCAATGCTGGTGCAATGTTGGTGCAATGTTGGTGCAATGTTGGTGCAATGTTGGTGCAATGTTGGTGCAGTTTTGAAACTGCACCAAAACTGCACCATTTTGGTGCAATGTTGGTTCAAGTCCTCGTTCAAGTCTTCGTTCGGGTCTTCGTTCAAGTCTTCGTTCAAGTCCTGAATCAAGTCTTCGTTCAAGTCTTCGTTCAAGTCCTTGTTCAAATCTTCGTTCAAGTCTTTGTTCAAGTCCTCGTTCAAGTCTTTATCTGAGTCTTCGTTCAAACCTTCGTTCAAGTCCTCAATCAAGTGCTCAATCAAGTCTTCGTTCAAGTCCTAGTTCAAGTCTTCGTCCTTGTTCAAGTCTTCTGTCGGTTCTTTGTTGAAGTCTTCGTTCAAGTCTTCGTTCAAATCCTCAGTCAAGTCTTCGTTCAAGTCTTCGTTGAAGTCCCAAGACGGCCTAACCAGACGTTAAATAATGGCCGCTTCGCCACGCACCGGTAAACAATGGCCGGTTGGAGATTGACACGTTTTTGGCTGCCGGGAGCCTGGAGCCACCGATTGCGAAGAACTCACGCAAGCCGCTGATATGGAACGCGCGCGCCCACAATCGCAAAAAATTGCAGACGTCGCTTGAAAAAAGAACTCGGAAGCCTTCAATATTTCCAAGTGGCGCAACGCGGCCTCGATCTCTCAAACAAGGAATAATTGAGAGCTGGCCCTGATCTCTGAGATTTTCAGCCGACTGCTTCGACTGCGCGCGACACTGTGACAGAATTGCCCCAATCGAGGCACGCGTTATAATGTTGGGCTGAAGAACTGGAGCGCCCTGGCCCAACAGGATCGCCGCTACGGTATTTTCAGCGCAGGGGTGTGCCAATGCTGCCTTGCCCTCGACTGAGTTTCTCTGCCGTCGTATCAGCCAGCACAGGATGCTTGAGGCTCCTGCACGCAGTAGGATTGACGTTTTGGTTTCGATTGGTCTCACACACTGAAACTTGTTGTGTACCCTTGAAAGAAAGGACCGCCAAACCAAGTTGCCCCCTAGAAGCTGGACGGTTGTCAAACCTACCCCCCCCCCCGCCAGATATATTCGTGGTTTAAATCACTGGTTTCACGGCGCCGCCTACACAGCCGCCCATGTCTCGCACACACTGGAAAACCTATGGGTTGGCCAAAAGTTAAAGTCCTAACATCCTTTGGCAAAATGCACCAAGGAAATATGGAACCATATGGTGGATGCTAACCACATCCGCCGACATTTTTCGGCGTGTCGGATACTTACTAGAGGATAGAGGATAACCCCCCCCCTAACCCATACATAGGTTTTTTTTTTTTGGGGGGGGGGGGCACGTACCGCGCGGCAATTTGATGACGTTCCACAAAACGTAGTCTTCGGGGAGCCGGTGTCGCAAAACAGGGGCCCCAGGCTCGATTCCCCCTGCCGGCTTTTTTGCTGGCTTGGGCGTCCTGCATCCTTTTGCCGAAAATCTCGAAAAACTCTGTGTTTTTAGGCGTCCTCTTTGCAAAAATGCTGGAAAACCGTGTTTTTTGCGGGAAATACTGGGGAGCAAAGGGGAAATGCAAGGAGATATACATACATTACATTACATTACATTACATTACATTACATTACAACACATTACATTACATCACATTGCGTTACATTACAACATATTACATTACATTGCATTACATTACATACATACATACATACGTACATACATTACATTACATTACATACATACATACATACATACATACATACAAACATGCCATACCATACCATACCATACCATACATACATACATACATACATACATTACATTACATTACATTACATTACATTACATTGCATTGCATTACATTACATACATACATACATACATTACATACATTACATACATTACATACATTACATACATTACATACATACATACATACATACATACATACATACATACATACATACATACATACATACATACATACATACATACATTACATACATACATACATACATACATACATACATACATACATACATACATACATACATACATACATACATATACATACATACATACATACATACATACATACATACATACATACATACATATGCAACATACATACATACATACATACATACATTAAATACATTACATTACATTACATACATACATACATACATTACTATTAATACATACATATACATTACATACATACATACATACATACATACTGATACATACATTTACATTACATTACATTACATACATACAATTTACATTACATACATACCTACATACATACATTACATTACATTACATTACATTACATTACATTACATTACATACATTACATACATACATACATACATACATACATACATACATACCATACATACATACATACATACATACATACATACATACATACATACATACATACATACATACATACATACATACATACATACATACATACATACATACATACATACATACATACATACATACATACATACATACATACATACATACATACATACATACATACATACATACATACATACATACATACATACATACATACATACATACATACATACATACATACATACATACATACATACATACATACATACATACATACATACATACATACATACATACATTACATACATACATACATACATACATACATACATACATACATACATACATACATACATACATACATACATACATTACATTACATTACATGAATACATACATACATACATACATACATACATACATACATACATACATACATACATACATACATACATACATACATACATACATACATACATACATACATACATACATACATACATACATACATACATACATACATTACATTACATTACATTACATTACATTACATTACATTACATTACATTACATTACATTACATTACATTACATTACATTACATTACATTACATTACATTACATTACATTACATTACATACATACATACATACAAACATACATACATACATACATTACATACATACATACATACATGCATGCATACATACATACATACATACATACATGCATGCATGCATGCATACATACACACACATAGATACATTACCTACATACATACATACATACATTACATTACATTACATTGCATTGCATTACATTACTTTACATGCATACAAACATACATACATTACATACATACATACATAAATACATACATACATACTTACATACATACATGCATACATACATACTTTACATACATTACATACATACATACATACATACATACATACATACGTACGTACGTACGTACATACATACATAACATACATACGAGAGAGGGAAATTGGGGAGAGAGAGGCTTGGGGGGATGGGGAGGATGGGGAGCAGAGGGAGGGAGAGAGGACCACAGAACACACAAGGGACACAAAAGAGAGAGGAAGAAGGAGAAAAGGGGGAGGACAATGTCGGCGGACTGAGGCGGAGGCTCTAAAGTTTCTAGTTTAGGACTTCATCACACTGCTCCTTTCAGGTGGCCTTGCAGGCACGATTGCTGTGTGTCTTACTCAAAGGAGAGGGAAACACAGTTTTGTCAACAACGGGGGAACCCGGGACCTTAAAAGGAACGAACCCCTCCGTGACTGCGACCTCTCCCTTAACCTTGTGGGTAGCGCGAGCAACGCGCTCTTTTCAGCACTTGAGCCAAATGACATGCGGACATGTCATCTGGGTCCTTGTCATGTTTGTACATCATGCAACTTGTTGTACCTCTGGGCCATAAATGTCATCGTGATAATTGACTCCCCCCTCATTGACGGCACTGAGGGAGTGTCTTGGGCGCATTACCACGCCAACTTGAAGTCAAGTTTACATCACAACGACTGACGCAAGTTATTCAAGCATCGCCCAGTCACTTGCACACTTTTGGAAATTTTGCAGACAT